CGCGTTCCATGAGCTGCCGCCCGCGCAGATGCGCATGTACGAATGAGCAGAGCGACGGCTTCGCTCGTATGGAAACGCCTCATCCGCGCCCATGCTGATGCTGTCGCTCGTGGCTCATCGCCCCAGGATATACATGGGAAGTCAGAGTCAAGGGGGGCTAGGTCCCAGAGGATTAGTGAGCTGAGCCAGGCCCTCTCCACCTCTCCTCACAATCTCCTCCCCTCTCGTAGTAGATGGCAATGTAGAGTTTGCAACGAGGCAATCAGCAAACAATCTGGGCTCCCGACCATCAAGCGTTGGGTTAATATTTGCAGCCCCGTGCCACCTAGGATCTTAGGGCCCGGGGGGGCGTGGGTTTCAACAGACTGTCCAGATAGGTAATAGAGCAGTGCGCCCTTCACACACCATGGTGTATGCTGAGCATGCCTCCATGTGGTGGTGCACAGTCTGCGGCCGCCGTGCCAATGTGTCTGATAGAAGTAGTGTCAAGGGGCTCTTCGACCCCTGCGGCCCCCCACTAAGAATGGGAAGTACGTAGTATCACGCCTGTCTAGGGGTAAAGACATACCCCGTTGACGCCCGTGCCCAGGTTTTCGGAATCCCTGGATCCCACGGGTCGCGCCGCTCTAGGGGCCCCAAGCGCGCCTGGGCCCCCGACACGGCGCACGCCTTGGCGAATTTCGACACCGTCGTCGCCGAATTCTCCGAATTCTCCTCCTCCTGCTCCTCCTCCTGCTTCTGCTCCTCCTTTTTTTTGTTCCTCCTGCCCCTCCTCCTCCTCGTGCTGCTCCCTCTCCTCCGTCTCCTCCTCCTCCTCTTCCTCCTCCTCCTGCTCCTCCTCCTGCTCCTGATCCTCCTTCTCCTCCCGCTCCTCCTCCTCCCCCTGCCCCTCCTCCACCTCTTGCTCTTCCTCCTCCTCCTTCTCCTCCTTGTCCTGCTCCTCCCCCTCCTGTTCCTCCTCCTCCACCTCCTCCTCCTCCTCTTCCTCCTCTTCCTCCTCCTCCTCCTCTTCCTGTTCCTCCTTCTCGTCCCCGTACTCCTCATCCTCCTGCACCGGCTCCTCCTGCTGCTCCTCCTCCTCGAGCGTGGCTGCTGGGTAGTGCTCGTGGCGCCCAGCCAGGAAACCCGCCTCTCCTTCGATGCCGCGCGGCGTGGGCCCCCTCGGCTGCCAGCCTGGTGCCTGGCAGGCGGTGCGCAGCCATGTTCGCTGGGTACAAGTCGCCCCCTCCCGTCTGTGGCTCGAAAAACGCCATAACCATTAACTTGTGGCGCTCCGCGCGGCCGCGCCGGGCCCCCCAGGCGGCGCCTGCGGCGCCGCTCCTGGCGCGCTCCGCGCGCCTGGGAGGGGGGTCCAGCGCAGATCGACGAAATCCGCGCGGAGCGCCAACAAAAAATGTTTATGGCGTTTTTGCTTCTAGTGATGGGGGTGGGCGGGTTGGCGTGGTGGCGGGTTGGGTTGGTTGGGCTGCTTGGCGAGTTTGCGGACGGGCTGGTTCGGCTGGTTGGGCTGGTTGGTGTGCTGGCTAGGGCAGTTGGTCTCGATCGCCCTTGGGCCCGGTCGCTTCGCGGGTTCGTGGGTTGGGTGGTTGGGCTGGTTGGGCTGGCTGGCGTGCCGGGGCTAGGGCGATGGGCTTCGACTGCTTACGACACGGCGCGCTGGATATTTCCCACGCGTCTCATTACGGCCCCACCCAAGGAGCAGAACCCGCCGACGAAACTGTTGGCTTTTTCTTTCTGTCCTCAGGTCTCTCAATCCTCGCCGTCGGAGCCCACTGCGGACGGGCCGTGGGCCAAAAGGGCGTGCTTTTTCGAGATGGGCCAGGCGGTGTGGTCTTCTGCTGCAGGGGTGGACCTAAACGGTGTTTTGGCGATTTCGTGGGCCGTGTTCGTCTCGACTTCGTCTTGCGTTAAAAGGCGGATGGAAGACAAAACGAGGGACAACGAACACAAACCGAAAACGAACAATACCGTTTGGGTTCAGCCCTGTTTTGTTGTTCCCCTGCAGGCCTGCAGCGTTGGCCCATGCCAAGAGGCGCCCTGCTTGCGTCCAGGGTGTGCCCCGGGCTCCTCGGACTTCGGTGGTTCCGCTGTGGCCAGCGTGGCGCTCCCACGCCAGAGAGCCACGGACGCCCTGGGGAGGAGGAGGAGGAGGAGGAGGAGGAGGAGGAGGAGGAGGAGGAGGAGGAGGAGGAGGAGGAGGAGGAGGAGGAGGAGGAGGAGGGGAGGGGAGGAGGAGGAGGAGGAGGAGGAGGAGGAGGAGGAGGAGGAGGAGGAGGAGGAGAGGAGGAGGAGGAGGGGAGGGGGGGAGGGGGAGGGGGAGGGGGAGGGGGAGGGGAGGGGGGAGGGGGGTGTCAGGGTGGGTTGGGTTCTTGTAGCAGGTTTCCTGTGGACTGGCCTCCACCGTACCATGATCGGGGCCAGGACATCTCACAGATTCCATGGCTCCCCTTTTCTCCGCATGCTCCTGGTCCCCCCTCCTCCGCGTACCTCGGGCCCTGGAGCGCCCCCCCCCCCCCCCTTTCTGGCTGCCCCCTCCCTTCGTCGCACCCGGAGGAGGGGATTTGGGGACGGAGGGGCACCTTTCTAGAAAGAGAGGAAGCGCTGGGCCACCCCTGAGCCTGGCATCGCTCGGACGTGTGCATTTTTTCTCGGCGAGAACCATCGAGGACCATCCTGGACAAACGAGCAAGGAACAACACGCACGAAACCGAACAATGCACAGGAAATGGACGAATGAACAATGCCAGGGAAGATGCCCCTCCTCCTCCCCTCCTCCCCCTCCTCCTCCTCCTCCTCCTCCTTCTCCTCCTCCTCCTCCTCCTCCTCCTCCCCTGGGGGCTCCTCCTCCTCCTCCCCTCCTCCTCCTCGCCTGGGGGCGCGAAGAGGATCGCGCTCTGGGCCCGAGAAGCTGCCCCCCTCTCCAGGGGGCGGCGGCGCGAGGGCCTCGAAGACAAAATCGCGCCCTCGCGGGGCGCGAGGGCGCGAAGTCGGAGGGACCCAGAAGACTCCATCGGATGTGGAGGAGGAGCATAGAAACCGAGGAGGAGGAGGAGGAGGAGGAGGAGGAGGACAACGAGGAGGAAGAGGAGGAGGAAGAGGAGGAGGAGGAGGAGGAAGAGCATGAAACCGAGGAGGAGGAGGAGGAGGAGGAGGAGGAAGTGGAGTGGCCCAGAAGACTCCATCGGATGTGGAGGAGGAGGAGGAGGAGGAGGAGGAGGAGGAGGAGGATCGGAGGTGGATAGACCTCCTACCCTGACACGTCGATGAAGGAATTGGCCGTTTTCGGTTCGCGAGGGGGCGTCGCGGCCGTCATTCTTGCGGGTCCAGGTCCGTCGGTTTCGGTCCCAGGCCGTTTTCACTAAGGGAGGTTTACTAAAGGGAGGTTTGTCCACCGCCGAGAGGAGGAGGAGGAGGAGGAGGAGGAGGAGGAGGAGGAGGAGGAGGAGGAGGAGGAGGAGGAGGAGGAGGAGGACAACGAGGAGGGGGACGAGGAGGGTATTGTCGTGCCGATTGTAATGCCGCTCCACAGCCACCAGCATCGCAGCAGTGCAACTGCCACCCTCACCGTTGACACCGCCGCCCACCACCGCTGTAAGACTCACATCACCACGGCCCCCCCTCGTCTTCACCACCGCCACGAACGGCCCCTCACCAAAGTCACCACGCCCCGCACCCCATCCACCCCAGCTGCGGTAAGCAAGGACGCCCGAGAGCGGGCGCGAAGACAGCCGCGCTCTGCCCACCGCGGCCTGGGCGGGAGAGCCTCTGTGTGGCGCCCTTTCCTGCGGCGGTCGGCGCGGGGGCGCGAGGATACCGCGCATCGCGGGGCGCGATGCGCGCAGGTAGCTGACCTAGCATGTCGGCGGCGAGCGAGGGGGGGAAGTTGGAAGGAGAAGGTCTCCTCAGAGGGCGGCGGGACTCTTCGGACGGCCTCCGGCCTTCTGCGACGTCTTCTCTGGCGCCGGGGAAGGCTCAATCATTTTCTCAGGAGGGGGAGGAGGAGGAGGAGGAGGAGGAGGAGGAGGAGGAGGAGGAGGAGGAGGGAGGGTGCTCGTTGGGAAGCCGTCGGTCTGGGTCGGCTGGGGGACTCCCGAGCCTTCTGAGAAGGCCTTCATTCCCCCCCCCTCTCTCGCCACCGAAAGTGTGGATCAACAGCTGGCTGCACATCGGCCTCGATTCGTCTTGGGGGCTCTGGCACACACACGGATCCTGCCGCGGCACGGCGCGCTGCGGCAGAATCTCCATGTTGCGCCCGAGCAGCACGCTGGCCCTGGGCCACCTCCCGTGCACAATGGGTCGACGCCTGCAAAGTCGAACGAATGTCGAAGAACAACACATCAGCACAAGCATACATTGTCCGAAGGCCCGCGCGGATTTCTGTGATCGGCGCTGGGTCATCCCGGCGGCGCCTCTGGCGCGTCCACTGGCGCGCTTCGCGCGCAAGGGTGGGGAAGCCAGTGCCGATCCAAAGAATCCACTTGGAGCTCCGAAATTCTATCTATACCTTTCTTCAAGAACGTTTGTGGTGGGCTAACAATCGCGTGCCACTTCGTCGGGGGGGCGAAAAAGCTATCTATGAGGTCGCGGGGTTGAACATGTGATCCCAAAGCCTGACAGCTCCACAGGGCTGGGGTGATTGTTTTTTTGTTCAGCGCAGCAGTGAACAATTGGACTGCGGCGTTCATCCGCGTTCCTCCCTCTGCTGCTCTGTCGCAGGGGGAGTATAGCGCAGACACATGCCAAGAAACACCCTGCTTGCCTCCAGGGTGCCCTGGGTTCCTTGGCTTTCGGTGGCTTTGCCGTGGAAGGCGCGGCGTTCCCGCACCAGGGATTGATGGACGCCCTGGGGTCTCAGGGTTGGGTCTCTTGTAGGAGGTTTCCTGTGGTCGGGCCCCCACTGTAGACGGGGATACGCAGCCGAGGAGGGTCCTCGGGGAGGGCGCTTGGTCAGGAACGGTGCCCTCGCCCGCCTCTCCGTGCGTCGCGGGCCTGCTGTCCAGGTGACGCTCATCCAGGACAGCGCCGCGAAGATGAACACCCCGCCGTTCAACTCCTACGGGGACCTCGAGGAGCTGGGACATTTGCTGCACCCAGAACCCCCAGGGAGGATTGATTCGCATAAGGGTCTCGCATCATCTCAGATCATCTCAGATATTGATTGACACCCCACATAATCTATATTGTGAAGGCCTTACGGCCAGCGCCGCCGACCCAGAAGGACGACGACGACGACGACCACCACGACGACAACCACAACGACGAGTTGATGACTCTGCCACAGGCTCGGGACATGGGACAGGCGGTGGAGGGAGGAGGAGGAGGTGGAGGGGGAGGAGAATGAGGATTACAGTCGTGGCCGGTCCACAAGAAACCTTCCACAAGAAGCCCAACCTTGAAACCCCAGGACGTCCATTGTTTTTGGTGTGGGAACGTTACGCTTTCCATAGCAAAATCATCGAAACCTAAGGAACCCAGGGCACTCTGGAGGCAAGCAGGGTGTTTCTTGTCACTTGCCCCCACTGTAGCGACGGGTCCCGTTTCCACGGAAAATCGCGGACGTCCGCCGCCGAGCGAGGCGGCACCGGCAGCATTTTGGGGGAGAGCACTTCACCCGATCCGTGGATTTGGCGACCGCGCGCCAGGTCCATGGATCGCTAATGGATGTTTGTGCGCCCCCGGGTGGGGGGGGTGGGGGTGAGGGGGTGGGCGGGGGGATGGGGGAAGGGTTAAGTCGGGCCTGTTCTGTACAGGAGAATTTGTTCAATAACACTTACAACATCCTCTTGGGATTATTTTTCGATTGTTTGTTTTGACATTTTTTGTATTTAATGTGTAAACGTATATTTCATAGTTCGTCACACATCCGCCTGTAGGAGGACATGCCCGACCTAAGGGAAGGGGCGGTGAGGGCAACAGGACTGGAGGGGAGAGCGTTAGGGGGCATCTCGGAGGGTGGGATGCGGGGTGTCGGGGGTCGGGTGCATCGATGCGTGGATCGACCAGTTGGTCGGTCCGTTGTGGCTCGCCGGTCGACTGGTTGATCGGGGTGCGGCGAGGATGCGTTGCGTTGATCGGGTCGTTGACTTGGCATCCATCGCTCGGACGTGTGCGTTAGTCCTAGGCGAGGACCATCGAGGAGCATCCTGGATCATGCGGCAGAAGAAAAAACGCACGATATCGCAACACGCACGGGGAATGGACGTCCGAGCGATGGCGAGCTGATCGATTGGCTGATTGAGCGTTCGGTTTTGCAGCTTGCAGGGCGGTGGGCGAGCGGGAGCAGGGGCCCAGCGCTCTGCAGGCGGCCGGGGTCACGGTGAAGTACGCGGACCTGGCGGGCGGCGGGCTGGCCGCTGCGCTGGAGGCCCTCCTCCTCTGCCTCCGCCTCTCCTCCTCCGCCTCCTCCGCCTCCTCCTCTCCTCCTCCGCCTCTGCCTCGTCCTCCTCCCCATCCTCCTCCTCCGCTCCTCCCCCGCCTCTACCCCCGCCTCCTCCTCCTCCTCCTCCTCCTCCTCCTCCTTCTCCCCCTCCGCCTCCTTTTCTTCCTCTTCCTCCGCCTTCTCCTCCGTCGCGATTTTGGCTCAAGCCAATGGCTCAAGCCGTATCGGTTCAGGCTGGTCTGCGCGACCCGGTCGGCCTGGCGTTCCCCCTGTCCCGCCTCGCGACGGCCCGCTGGGCCCGCGCATCTCCTCGGCCCCCTCCCCAGCCATGGCCGGAGTGGGCTCGCCAGCGTCACCACCCCTGTAATGATCCCCGATGGGAAAAGCTAGTCTTCTCCGCCTAGAGTCGCCCCGCAGGTGCACCTCAGTGCCATCAACGTGATCACGTCCCAGACATCGACCCTCCAGGATCTCTTTCGTCAGGGATTCGCCGCGCGCGCAGCGGAGCTTGAATTGGTCAGGGGCCAGATGTCAACCGTCGGTTCTGACGTCGGCCGCGTGCAGGATTAGTTTGCGAAAGTGGCTCTGCGTCAGGAGGAACGTTTCGCTCAGATCAAGCGCGTCCAGGACGAGGCCATCCACCAGGTGGTGATCGACACATATGCTAAGCTCGTCCCCGTGTCTGAGGATGTAGAATCGCAGCTGAGTGACCTAAGGGTTCTGTTGTCTTCAGGCTCATCGACTCGCGCTTATTCGGGGTTCGAGGTCATGGGAGGAAGAGAGGATGAGAGTCGTCGGAGGATGATGAAGACGTCGGGACCAGAGCAAGCCAGCGCCGCTCGTTTCATCGCGCGTGAATGTGAGAATGCACTCCTCGAGGACTCGCTGAAGGAAGTGGCTTGATCGTTGCGCAGGGTAGTCCTTTGGGGGAAGAACCGATTGCGCGCGCTCTGGCTGACTAGGAAAGTGGCCCTTGACTTCCCGCCCACCCTCCCGCGCTCAGCACTCTTCGGGGAAGGCAGCAGCATCGAGAAAACTGTGTGCCATAACCCACTGGTGGTCTCGGTTGGGCGCATCGGGCGCGTCGCGATCCCCCTCCGCCCCGCCGGCAGGAAGCCCGTCTACCGCCTTGGACAGGCCAGGATTAGTCTCGCTAAAATCTTGGGAGAGTTCGCTGTCGGGGGCATTTTTCTCGGAGGGCAGATCCGTTGTCTTCTCTCCCCTGCGCGCCCAGCCGCGGTGGCGACGGTCGCGATCTCTGAGAGCGGCGCACCCAGTCCTCTGCTTGACTTCGACGGCTTGAGCAGCTTGGGAAAAGGGGGCCCATGCGGGCTGCACCCACATGTTCCATGAACACATTCACCCCGTCGCATGGTGGGCCCAGCTGTCCTGGGGCGTCCTACTTTGGGACCTGGGGCGCCCCTGCTGGCTCGATTTTGCGGTTCCCTCAGGGCCCTGGCCCTTCTTCGGGCGTGGGGCCGTCTGGGGCGAGGCCCAGGACTTGCGCGCCCCTGGTTAGCCAGGGCGGCACCCTGTCTGCCGACCATTGTTTTGAGCTGAGTTCGAGAGGTGGGTTCACTCTGGCGACCCCGCCCCGGGGGCGAACGGGGTCTTCTCTCCCAGGTTTTTTTTTTTTTTTTTTTTTTTTTTTTTGGTTTCCTTCCTTTCTTTCTTTCTTTTTTTTTTTTCTCTCTCTCTCTCTCTCTCTCTCTCTCTCTCTCTGTCTGCGTTTTGGAATGCCCGCACTTGATCTTAGTCTCTTGCAACGTACTCGCCACTTGCGGGCGCGCGGCAGTCGCGGATGCTTTGGCCCCGCGGCAAGTTTTTTGTTGCGCGCTTGCAGGAGACGCCGTGCAGGCGCGCAGTCTGTGAGATGTTTGTTCACGATGAGCGATGTCGGAACAGTGCTGTACCTGACTCTGCGATTGGCCCGTCTGCTGCCAGGGGTATTGTCGCGCTATTGTGCACTTATGCGGATGGCGCAGTTTGAGTCATGCATTTCGCATGCGATTGTCCCAGAGCGGATCTTAGCATCGCGCCTGATGTGGCGGTCTGGGGGCCCCATGGTTCCGCGCGCGCACGTGCCCACCACCTTGCCGAGGTCTGATCCAGGCCATTCCCCCATCTGCTCCGCACACGTTGTGCGCCATGGCGGGGGGCTGGAATGTCATGGAGGTTGACGGGGTGCCGGCTTAGGACGGATGGGGCGCGGTTAGCTAGATATCAGCAGCAAGATGTTGCTTTCGCGCCAGAATGCGGGCCCTGGGCAGAGCTGTGCTAACCTGGCCCGACCAGGGGGCGTTTTCGCAGGCGCAGTCCGTGGTTCGGCTCGTCTCGATCGCGTCTGCACGTCTTTCCCTGCCCCCGCTCTGAATGGTTTCCTGGTGGTCGCAGTCCTGGGCGCCATCTGGCCATGTCCTTCTCGTCGCCGCCGTCTCAACCAGGATTTCAGCTGCTGCGCCCTGCTGGAGCCCCACGTGGTTTCCCCCGCTGGTGGCACCGATTTCGGAGTCTCGCGCGCGTCTTCGGCCTCCGGAGTGCCGGTGCGGAGATGGCGCACGGGGGGCGGCGCGCGGGGGCATTCTCGATGCGCGTCCCGGCCGCGAGGGCCTGCCCCCAGTTGCTTCTGCGTTTTGAACCCGAAAGGGAGTGTTGCTCGGATGCTGCCGGCCTGGGGGCGCTGACTCAGGCTTCGAAAAGGCTCGTGGCATCGGCTGGGGGAGCGGGGTTTGGACGGGTGGGGGGAGGGCGGCGTGTCGAAGAGCACGCGGGTGGCACGGGTCCAACATTTGCGGGGAGTTTGGGCCGAGCTTCGTAGGCGGCGCGGGCATGCTGGAATCCCGGGCCCTGGCGGCCGTTTTTGTCTGTTCCCCCGGTGCGTGGGTCGCCGGCCTCGAAACGCATTGGGGGCAAGTCTCGCTTCCGGAACCCGCTCGTTCTCTCTGGCCTGATCTTGGAGCATGCGCCGCTTCTTGGCGTTTGGGCGTTAGTTCTTCTGTTGAAGGACTTTGCCATGAACGTCGCTCTGCTCCAAGGGGAGGGGGCGGGCGGGCGGGGGGGCCCTTTGCGGGCGTTGGAGGGCGGGGGGAACAGCCGACATTCTGTTTGAAGTGCACGCAGAGATGCACGAGGCTTCGGGGGGGCGGATTCTGCGAGCACTGGGAGGGGCCGCGTGCGTTTCCGCCCGACAGACCTGATGAACGACGAGAGCCCTGCGGAGTTGCCTCGCGCCCCTGGTAATTTTTGACCCCTGGCTCTGGCGAGATTTGTCAGCGGCGCTGTCTCTTTTGGGTTGCGGAGGGCGTCGAGGGACGCGGCCGACCCGATCCAGCGATGGGGGCATTCCCAGGACAGTGGTGCCTGGACAACCTCCTTGAGATTGAATGGCGGTGGCTTCGACAGACGTTGACTGGCGGGGGCCGCTCGGGGATTCTTTTAACTGACTTCGAGGCCGCCATCCCCTTGTTCATTTCTGCGTGGCCCCCTGGGGTCCTTTTCGGCGCTGCGCGTTCGAGGTGAAGTCTGCGGCTCTCGCGGGGAACTGCGTAGAAGACAACATTGTAGTTATCTACATCCCTGGCGCTCTGCTGGTTGAGCTAGCATCTGCGAGGGGGGGTCGAGAGGGGGGGGCCTGCTTTGATGTAACTTTTTGCGCGTGCTCTGGACCCATGTCCGAGATGGGCGAGAACGAAGCTGGTTCCCTTCCAACATCATTTTCTGGCCCTCAATCTACCTTGCAAGTGCTCTCTCTCTCTCTCTTTCTCTCTTTCTCCTTCTCTCTCTCTCTCTCTCTCGAAAGGGCGATCGGTCTTGGTCTTGACCTTCCCACGTGCAGTGCCAGATCCATGGCGCAGCGTCGCTGAAGCCTGAGCAGCTCGCTTATCGCTGGCTGCGGACGATCAGTGATGTCCAGGTCTCTGGTTTTGCCCATGCGGTCCTGTTCTGTTTCGGGCCCGGTGATTAACGCATGTCCGGAGTAGCGCGATCCCGGAGTTCTGGATAATTGTTCGGGGGCTCCGAGGGTTTAGTCTTGGCCCCCGCAGACGATCCGACTCTTCCACTCCCGCGGCGTGTCGATCTTGGCGCGCCAGCTGCAGTTGAATCCAGTGACGAAGCAGTTGCGGACAGCTCATAATGCAGCGTTGCTGGCGTTCACGGCCAGTTCTATCCAGCAAGTGATTGGGGCTCAAACGGTTTCTACGGAAGACGATGAGGTTGCCCCCGCACGGACCAGCTGGGCCTGGTGGAGACAGTCTTGGACCAGGACGACGGAGGACGACGCGCGTAATTTCTCGGCCCCCATTCTCGCGCCCCCCCCCAGGAAGCAGCTTCGGGGAACAGCCCTGAAGCGGTTGGTTGAAGACCCTCCACGACCCCATGGCCCCGCTCTCCGCACTCTGGCACAAAGAGTTTCCAAGCTGGCTGGGCCTGGCCGTTTTTTTTTGCCCCATATTCAGGCGCTGGCCAGGAGGGCGCGGCAAGCAGAGACAGACAGCACGATGCACCTTGCGACGGCCTTCGTGGACACCTTGCGACAGACAGCCTATGGGCGCGCGGCGTCTTAGGCATCGTGGGCGTCTTTCCCTCGCGGGCATCTTTCCCTCGTGGGCATGCGTCCCTCGTGGGCATCTCTCCATTGCGGGGGCCGCGCCTCGAACTTTGCCTCGTAGGCATCTTTCCCCTCGGTGATCTTCTAGCGTGGTGGGCAGAGCAGTTAGATGGCGACGGTTGGCCGTCGGCATCTTGTTGTCCTGGGGCCATCTTGGGAGAGGTCTTGTCTCTTATCGGCGGTCTTGTTGGCGGTCTTCTGGCCGCCCGCGATGCCCGTCGGATAGGCTTCCAGGTCCTCGGAAGCTTCGCGGTCGAGGCGCGGGCGAGACAACTGTCTCGCCGCCGCCCCGAATGGCTGGCTGGATGCGCTCCGGTCGCTCCGCCTGGCTTCTGCTGCTCGCCCCCCCCCCCCCGCGCGCCCTCCCGCCCCCCCC